CCTCGCCCTCGTCCATCTGCAGCCTCAGGCAGGTGCACACCATCCAGCACACGGCGGGCGCCGCGCCCATGCGGAACAGCGCCGCATTGCTCTTCATCAGGTGGAAAGCGCGCAGCGCCTGAGCCTCCCCTCCAAAGTGTCGCAGGAAATACGCCCTCCTGTCGCGTTCTGAGAGCCCTTCTATCTCCACCAAGAGTGGCCGCTCCACCAGGAACCGCAGCTCCCTCAGGGCCTCGGGCCGCGTGGTGACCAGTAGGGTGGCCGTGGGTAAGAGCTTCCTTGTCAGCAAGCTCCCCAGGAGGACAGGCGCAGGTCTCTGCGACCTCCAGTCGCCACACAGGTCCTGCACCAGCGCCCCCACCCCCGAGGGCACGCGCAGCTCCTCAAAAGCATCAATGACGAACAGGAGTTTCTGCGCCTGGGTGAGGACCTGCGGAAGGGCCTCCTGCAGGTCTGGGGCGCTCGCAGCCAGCAGCTCTGCGAAGGAGCACGTCCCCTTGCGGCTGAGCACCTTGCAGCTGAGATAGAAGGCGTGGGGGCAGGTCTGTGCGAGGTTGTCCTGTGTCCAGTCCAGCATGCACTTCTTGGCCAGAGTGGTCTTCCTGACGCCGGTGGGACCACCCTGTGTGGAAATGGCCCTGCAAGTATTTTAGGATTACAGAATGGGATCAGTGTCTCATATCTTTGGGTGACAGTGTGAATGTTTTCACTGGCTCCAGGCCAAAAGTTCTTCTTCCAGAGTTGCTGGACTTCCTCTTCGAAAATACTTCTATATTTATCCTGTTTACCTTCAGTGATAGGAGGTAGGGGATAGGAAGGATATAGCTGGTTATTCGTTAGAAAAAAAATACTTTGTGTTAAGTAGGAAAGAGACAATAGAGAAGTTTATAAAGAACTACCTGACACCAAGCTCATCCAGGAAGATAGGATACAGACCTGGCTTTTCTCCTTTGAAAACTTCCTTTGCTTCTTCTGGGTTTCTGACATCTTCTTCCTGTACATGTGTAAGTGCTACAAGATACAAATTAAAAATGAGCTTGACACAAAAACATGTGAATTTCTTTTACCAGAGATGTGGTGTTAAAGCAGGCTCCAAGGAGTGCAGAATCTAATCTCTGTCTATATCATATGCTGGGAGGTGCAACAGCCAGGTTTATAGAGATGAACAGAGTAAATGACCTTCTAAACCAAGTCACCTGCCTCTCCTCTGTAGACCCATAACAAGAAATATTTGTTCTAGTTGCTCTACCAAAACTCAATGTGATCTATTGAAACTACTTGTCTATCCTTCCCGCTGGACTAGACTGTGCACCAGGATATCAGGAGATAGACCTTCATACGGCCCAACCCATTATAGCTGCTCAAGTATCTGAGTAAACAAGTGATGTCATGCCCATGTGGAATGCCAGACAATTCCTGAGTATCTGCCCAAGGTAAATGAAAACGTGTATGCCAAGACTAGCACATGAAGGTTCATAGCAGCGTTATACAAGGCAGTTACAAAGTAGAAAAAATTCAGACATCCACCAATGAACGGACAATCGAGTGTGGCATATCCACACAATAGAATATTACTCTGTAATAAAAAGGGACGAATCAGTGATACATGCAATAATATGGACAAACTTCAAAAACATTATGCTAAGTGATGAAAGATGACAGGAAAGACCACATGTGTCCAGAAAAGGCAAGTCTAGAGAGACAAAATAAAGTAAGGGTTGCCTGGAACTGGGGGACAGAGACCAGGGAATGACCACATGTGGACATGAGGGAACTTTTTGGGTTGATGTAAATGTTGTAAAATCAGATAGTGGTGATGGTTGCAAAACTCTGTACGTTTACTGAAAGTTAGTAGTAGCACATTTAAAATGATTGAAATTTATGGATACATAGATTGTACTTCACTAGGGTCATTAACAAAAAATACTAGCAGGCTGACTTGAGCAACTCACTGACGTTAAACGGACCACAGAGCCTGTTCAGGAGAGTCACCCACCTATGGCACATCTCAACTTTCTCATCTGGGAGTTGAGATTACTAAAGTCTGAGCATCTGAGTTTGAAAAATCAAAGAAAAACTCCATACGGTACACAAATTTTCTGTGAACTACAGGAATTCCAGTTCTCTCCAACGGTCCTTCCCTTGCTTTGTTCTTAAGTGAGGGAGGAAGGCATTCTCTGTGAGACAACTGGTGATTATAAATAGTGGCAAAAATGAGGTTGGGGAGATGGAGCTCCCAAAGGGTGGGGGCAGAGAGGACACAACGGGGTGGGGTATGTGTCCCTTGGCTTGCTCCAACCCTGGGTGTTCTAAGACCAACCTGGCTCCTTTTCTTCTGCACACTGTTGGGTTTCTTCCAAGTTTGCACATTTTGGTTCTGGAGTCCTGGTGATCCCTGAGAAAAGAGGGGGCGTTATAGGCTTGTCACTAGGTTAGTATTGAAACTTTTCCCCGGGAGAGAGTGGGACTTCAAGAAAACTTATGTTTGACAACTGGGTCTCATACTTAAGCCCTGATGACATAAAAAGGACCTTAACATGCTACTGGAGATAAAGTGTGTCAAGCCACAATCTCAGGCTTCCATGCCTCTTCTGGCTTCCTATGATGGCTTCTTATGCAGTTGAGAACACACAGTGAGTGTTCCATGGGAGGGAGGTATATGCACAATAATCTCCAAAGGCCCAATGAGCCACAAGACTGAAGAAAAAGGCTGATCAGTCCAGCTTGACAAGAAATGGTTTATTTAAAAATTTTATTTATTTGACAGAGAGAGAGCACAACAGGGGGAGCAGCAGGCAGAGGGGGAGAGAAGCAGGCTCCCCGCTGAGCAGGGAGCCTGATGAGGGGCTCTATCCCAGGACCCTGGAATCATGACTTGAGCTGAAGGAAGATGCTTAACTGAGCCACCCGGGTGCCCCCAAGAAATGGTTTATTAAGGGGACAGAAGTGTGTCTTGGGCAGCTCCAAGACCAGGATATCTCCATGACCCTGCTTTCATAGCCCTAGAGGCTGGGAGTACGAGCAGGGGTCCATCCAGGAGGAGGATGAGAGTGGGTGTGGGCCACAGTCCTATCTCCAGAGCAGGTCAAGGACGTTATGCCCTGAGGATGTACTTAAGGGTGTAGTTAAACAAAAGGAAAGACTGTGAAAGTGTGTGTGTGTGTGTGTTTGGGGTGGGGGTGGTGGAGCTCAAGAAGGCTGCAGGTCACAGAGTGCTCATCATGGTGGATTTATCCTAGGTGGAGCCAGTCAAGTTCACGCATGAGAGAAATGAGCACGTGTGCACAATTACTCTGTCTTGAGGGCATCAGAAAGCTTTCATGGATTAATTTCCTGGTTTCTGATGAGGTAGATAAAACCACACTGTCCAGGGAGGGAATATAGGAACAGGGTGGAGTCCTGAAAGGAGAGGAAGTACTTTAAGCTCAACACTGGATAAAGAAGAGGTGAGTCTAGGAGAGTCCAGAAGAGATTCCCAGGAGGCAACTGGCTGTGGGCATCTAAAGTTCAGGGAAAATGCTGGTCTGAAGTTATCCTTTGGAAAGACTTCAGGCATAAATAGCCAGTAAGACTCCAAGGGATATCTACCAGGACCAGGATGCTGAGTGGTAAAATGGCCAGCCAGTCATCCATTTTGAAGATGAGGCAGAAGAACAAGAATTCTGAAATGGAAGAAAAAATAATCTTCAACAAGCAATAAGGCAAAGGCAACAAGGTCATAAAAGCCAAGAACAGGATTCTAAATGAAGAATTCTCTGTGCTTTTAGCCCAAACACTTAATGGAACGAATACGAACTTTTTTTTTTTAAAGATTTTATTTATTTATTTGAGAGAGAGAGAATGAGAGACAGAGAGCACGAGAGGGAAGAGGGCAGAGGGAGAAGCAGGCCCCCCGTTGAGCAGGGAGCCCGATGTGGGACTCGATCCCGGGACTCCAGGATCATGACCTGAGCCGAAGGCAGTCGCTTAACCAACTGAGCCACCCAGGCGCCCACGAATACCAACTTTTTAAGCAGGCAGTATTCCTTAAAGCACTGCCAAATGTAAGGTCTGATGGACCACCAGTCTACCTTTGACCTTTATTTAGGTCATCATTGTGGAACCTTTTAACACACTTGTGTATTGGTAGAAGTCAGGACACCCGGGGTTGAGATTATCAATGGTTGTGCCTTTGCTCTTCACACCACCCTCCCGTTTACTGTTGCCTTGAGCCCAAGTCATATCATTAAGGATACTGGGGATTTGGGGTGTTGAGAGGAGAGAATGTTGAAAATCACTAACTCAAAAATCCTTTTGGCTGGGGTTAGCAAACTTAATTTTCTTGCTCCTGCAAAGGGCCAGACAGTAAATATTTCCTGCTTTTCGGGCCACACCTCTCATCTCTGTCCTTGTAGGGCAAAAGCTGTCACAGACAACATATAAGCAAATGGGTATGCCACGTGCAAAGAAAACTTCGTTTATGAATACTGAAGTTTGAGTTTCTTATGATTTTCATAGGCTATAAGACAGTCTTTTGATTCTGCCCCCCCGCCCCCCACCATTTAAAAATATAAGAACTGTTCTTAGCTTGTGGGAAGGTCAAAAGCATGTGGCAGGTTGGATCCGGTTTGTGAGCCTAGTTGGCCAACTCTTGCTGCAGGTCAGTCTAAAATCCAGCTTGTCCAGATTCCAAGGGAAAGCTCATGCTTTCCTGCATCTGTGTGTGCTTACTGACTTCTGGTATAAATACCGCCTCCCTGAGCTCCCCAGGTCTCACTCCTCACCCACCTGCATGGCAGCAGAGAGGAGGGCTTGTCTTTCTTTGCATCCTTAGTGCTCAGCACCGTGTCTTGTCTAATTAAAACAAGCTCCTGAATTCCAAAATCTCGCATGAAAAGTAAATGAGGTAGCTTATCTAATGCTGGAGGCTTGTTCCAAGACTCCAGAGCTGCTTCTGGTAGAGGAGGAGGTCGGGGAAACCCGCACTTTTCAGAGCCAGATCCTTATAGGTGCTACGCTCAGAGTTTCTTCATGCTATTTCCAAATTTATAATCTCCAGAGGCCAGCTAGGGGTGAAAACCCTCACCTGTCCATTGAAGACAGGGAACATTAAGCTAAAAACAGATCCCTCACTGGAATAAAACTGGTCTTTTTTTTTTTTAAGGAAAAAGGAAATTGTAGGTAAGGCAGAGCTGTTTTGAATACCCCTGCCAAAGAGGAAGACAGAAAAGGTCCCCTAGAGCAGAGTGCTCTCCAAAACAAATATAACACCTGTCACAAAAGCAAGCTACCTATGTAATTTTGTATTTTCTAGTAGCCACATTATGAAAGGTATAAAGAGGTACAACTAATTTTCATAATTTTTATGTATCTAAAATGCTAACACTTAGATGTGTAGTCAGTGTAAGAGTTGCTCATGAGATGGTACATAAAAGCATGCAGTTAAAAGCCCATGTGTATTCTAGCCTTGTAGCATGCTTGAATCAAACCAGCCATGGGCCAAGTGTGTGCTAACTGCATACGGCCACCCTGTTAGGCAGCAGAGCCCTGGACATTATAAAACCTTGGGTGCACACAGGCATCATCTGGGAAGCTTTCAAGAACCCCACACCTAGGGGAGACACAGATCATTTAGCTAAATCACAGTCTCTGGTGACCAGTTCTGGACATCAGTGTATTTAAGCTCCTGAGGAGATTGCCCAGCATGGTAAAAGTTGACAACCACTGACCTAAAACACTGTTCTCTACTCAGGGGCCATTTGGCAGTGTCTAGAGACATTTTTGGCTGTTGCAAGTGAGGGGAGTGTGCTCCTAGCATCTAATGGGTGGAGGTGCTGGGATGCTAGCACTGGGGTCCCAGGGATGCTGCTAAATATCCTGCAATGCAAAATAGGTCTCCTCACCCAGCCCCAAATGCTATTAGTGCTGCTGATCGAAGGGAAGGTAGGGGTTTGTGAGTCTGTGGAAGGAAACATGAGTGGGAGCTGAAAACCAAACAGAAGGTGTGTAATAATTTAACGTCTTGGATGTATACGAGAATGGGATATAAATATACTCCAGGAACAGTCTTAGAAAAGAGAAGGGATATAGACTGAGGAGGCCGGGGAAGGTATACAATACCTGGACAGAGTAGAAATAGCTAGAATGAGAGATACCACCAGACTTTATGAAGGTCTAGCATTTCAGTTCAGGACAGGGGGCCTCTCCAAGGCTCAATGTTATTCCTATACATGTAAAACCCTGGAGGCTACTCCTCCTTCCTCCTATGACACTGCGTGGGCTCATTTCTACTTACCCCTGAGCTCATCCTTTGCTTTCTCAGACAGATCTGTTCGGTTCATCTTGTCAAAGACTGGATGGTCACCATCTCTACCCAGTGGCTGGGGCAGTGGTTGGTGAGAATTTCTGCCAGTTGCTTCCCATCAGCCTCCTCTACCTCTGTCTCAGGGATGTGCTGTAACTCATCTTGCAGGGAAAGGGGCCTCAGCAGAGACTTGAACTGGCTCAGCTCATTCTGGCTGAGCTGCTCCAGGAGGGGCTGCAGGCTGAAACCCAGCTGTGCAGAAGGTTCCATCTCACCCTGCATGAGAGATCCAAGCTTTAGGCATTAAAGAATTAAGGAGAGAAATGAAAGAGACAGCAAATTGGTATTCCTGTCTTAAATACTGGTTGCTTCTGTGCCAGAAACTGGGCAATTCTCACTCCCGACCTGCTGCTTTAGGAACCAACTCTCCAAAGTAGGAAAAATTCACACAGAACTCCCTTAGTTTTTGCCTTGACACAGTGGTTCCCATTTTGAGAGTCTGGGGCTCTTTTGAGGAGTGTGCAAATCCCTGAGGATAGGTAGGAAGTCCATGCGGAGGCATCTCCTGGACCTAGCAGATCATGTTAGTTTTTAGTAAATTTGGTGTACAAATGAGCTAATGAGAACTACTCACTTCAGCTCTCTAGAACAACCTGACATGTTGTTGTCTTAGGATGTTTATGGACCTTGACTACAAAACGGTCTCAAGTTGAAAATATCTCAACAGAGACTCACCAAGCAGTTGAGTGGTACACTTTTTCAATTTGCCATTGCCTACAAAGAGTTATTTCCCGACCTCAACTGACATGGGTTTGAGATTCTATTCACTGAACAGATGAGCATTTGAGTCAAGGGTCCTATGCCCAGATTTCCAGTTGTAAAACAAGCATGTCATCACCCACCTCATTAAGTGGCCATGGGCACTAGTTTATTCAAAAAAATTTCCCATTGGGTGCCAGGAACAATTTTAGAACTGAAGGGACAGTTACAAAGATGGGTAAGAACCCTGCCCACTTGGGGTTTATACTCAATTTGGGTACACGTATAGGGTGGGAGAAGCAGACATTTCACAGATCAATTCAAACAGAAACAAGTGACATATAAATATGAAGACAGGATGATACAGAAGCAGAATGAGGCAGATTTTACATCACATGAGCATGGACATTTTCTCAGAGGAAATAGGTCATTGAGAACATGAAGACAAGGAGCTATTAGCTGTGAGAGTTTTGTGGGGGGTAAAGTCTAAGCAGAGTGAATGAGTGTTAAAGCTCGGGACTGAGTGGATTTCAGCATGGGCACTCATTGAAACAGATGAACACAGGATGGGACTCATACCCTAGGGTCAGATCTCTGATCATTAAGGCAGTGGCTAGTTATATTTGGATTTTAAAAATTTGATTCCAGGTATAACAGGAAGCAGGTCTGAAGTTTCTGGCAGGGATGCCACATAATTTGACTTATACTCAGAAGCACTTTCTCTTGCTGCATGTGGAAGATGGAGAGCCACACCAAGAAGCTGGTAAAGGAAACTTTTTCATGACCCTTGAAGATGGTAAGGAAGGCTTTACTGGAGAGTGGGAGCTGCAGCTAGGGTTTGGAGGTAGGGGAGGGATGTGGAACTCAGCTCCCAGCACAGCAAAGACAAGTGGGGCAGATCCAAGGAGGTGGGGTCAATGGGTGGGCAGTCACCAAGATTCGTGCTGAGGCCGACCAGGGCAGACCTCCACTGTGTTCCTGAGGTGCAAGCCCACTCTACCTGCTTCTTTGTCACCAACTGCATTCACAAAACCACGTTTCAGCCAAGAGTGCTCAAGGAACACTGCTGGCCAGCGAAATCAGCTTAAGTCTTTTTGGTGGGGCTTTCTAGAATGTTATCTCTGTCCTGATAAAAAGAGGGCAGAAACAGCTGAGTGGCCTTTGACCTTTGTCCCTCCATCCTGCCAGGCACGTGGAGAAGGTACCTGCAGTTGGGAAGTTGCCATAGCGCTGCAAGAGGTAAGCTGGACCCTGGGGGATTAGCCTGCAGAACCTGCATCTGCTCCAGACCTTGGTGTGAGGGATGAATTCAACTGAAGCATCCCAGGTGTCCACATCCTACTCTATAAAGAGACCTGTCCCACCTTCCACAGGCACCAAGCCTGCTGGAACACACAGCTAATAATTCTGTTTGTATTGGGTTTGAAACAAATCCTGTTGACCACTCAACTTTTTTTTTTTTCCATGTAAGCATAGATTGCTCTTTTCTTAAGGTAAAATTCACATAAAATTAACCATTAACCATTTTAAGTGAACAGTTGAGTGGCATTTAGTACATTCACAGTGTTGCGTAACCACCACCTTGGATTAGTTCCAGACACTTTCATCCCCCCAAAAGGAAACCCCATACCCATTAAACACTTGCTCCGCATTCTCCCCTCCCCGCAGACCCTGGCCACCACCAGTCTGTTTCTCGTCTCCATGGATTTGCCTGTCCTGGAAGGTTCCCATAAATAGTCACACATTATGTACAAAAACTAACTCAAAACGGACTAAAGACCTAAATATAAGGGGAAAAACCACCTAACATTTTAAGGTATTTATGAGCTGCCTGAAGTCTTATGCCAGTTTAAGAGGAAGGACATTTTTCTAGTGTTTCTTTTCATATTAATAGGCAACTATGATCCTCCCTGCCCAGCTCCCTTCCTCCCTCTGAAGGCAGAGAGCCACTGCTTGAGATCCTCAACACCTTGATTCCCGCCCCCCTCCCCAGTCTGCAGAGTCCTTCCTGGCCCTATGGTCTCCTCAAATTTGACTTCAGGTCACATTTACCAACAGATTTCATAGGTCTTCCTTTTTTAAAAGGGATTATGGCAATGTCCCCCACCCAAGTGCCATTTATAGGCCAATCAAGCCAGGTGTTCAGCATATAATTTAGCCCTGTTGAAAGAATTGGATGCGGTCACTGGGTAAAAATGATCCTTTAAAATGCAGAAGAGGAATTTACAGAGGTTGCGTGCCAATTCTCACCCAGCTGTTAAGTGTTGAAGCCAGTATTCTACTCAAAGCAGTCTTATCCCAGAACCCATGATCTTGATTCCTCTAATTGATTCAAATAGATGCCACTCTAAAGGCTCCAATAATTATACAGAAAAAATAAGGACAATTCAGAAGAGTAAAATCAACTAGTTAAACACAGAATAAAGTATTCTGTTAAGCCAGCAGACAGATTCAGCAAAGTGTGTCAAAACCTGATGGATTTTCAAGGCTGGTGATCATTATACAATACTCACTGCATAATTACAGTGGAAAGAGAAAAGTTATACTTGCAATGTTGTTTAGAACTGCAGCAACGAAGAGAATCTTATATGGAAATAGTATATATATACCCAAACATTCTGCTGTCGTATTAACAATGCAATGCAACGGAGGATTTTTTTTTTATTCTTATGTTAATCCCCATACATTACATCATTAGTTTTAGATGTAGTGTTCCATGATTCATTGTTTGTGCATAACACCCAG